AAAAAATATGACTTCCTCTTGTTGCTTTTGATATCTTTTGCTTCTAAACATGTTTACCCTTCTGCAACACCACCCTCCTTTGAAGTCAACCAACTATGGACTGAAACCTCTACAAACTGTGGAGTAAATAAACCTTTTCTTCCTTTACTTTGGTTTTTGGGTATTTTGTATAAGCAAGGGGAAAAGTAACTAAGGTATGGTTTTATTTTTATAGGAATGACATTAGTAACTTTGGAAAGTACCAACATTTGTAAAGAAAAAATGATTGTCAAATTCATGGAAAGTTGTGATATCTCTATTATAGTATTTTATATTTATTAGAGTATGTTTATAATAAAAATCATGGTCATTTTTATCACTTTAACTTTCTCTCAATACCCCTGATCCCCTTGCCAATATAAAAATTGTCTACAATTTTATTTCCTGTCATCTCTCCTTTGTTTTTATTCATTGTATTTCACATCCATATAAAAGAAACTATACCAAATTTAATTAATTTTTTATTTTTAATTATTTTATTTTAAATATCGAAACAAAAATGGTAGAAATGGTACAGTATATCAAAAAGGAAAAAAGTTAGGGAATAAAACTAGTTAATACATTGCACATTGTGATCTCAGAACTAGTTATTCAAGTTACAAAATCTAGATACAAAAGTGTTCAATCAAACAACAATACTACAATCTGTTCTTTTTCATGATGTAAAAGAGCTTAGGAGTGTAGTAACCAATAGCTACTAGGATATGGGAAAGGAAAAAGGGAAGAAAAGAAAAGAATGTATGTTGTTTAACATATATAAATTAAATTAATTTTATGTAAAAATCTAAAAGGAAAAATGAAGAGCTTAAAGATCAAGAATGTAAGCAGCTGGATGAAACAATTAATGATATAGTTGAACAAAATAATGATTATCCATTGGGAGATGATCTCATAACTAACCAAATGAATCAATATGAAGATCAAGAAGCACAAAGAATATACAAACAAGGATTTTCATGAGTTACAAAGAACAATATAATTTATGAAAGACCACTTAATCAAACAATGAGTATGCAATGAAGCAAAAATCCTAGAAATCAAAACTTCAAATTTGAAAAATTTTTAAATTAGAAATTGGCAAATTTTTGCAAGAAATAAGATCACCCAGAAGATACAATAACAGGATTTGTGTATGCCATTGTTAGTAAAATATTCAGAAAAAGCAAAAGAAGCAGCAAGACACAAACTCACAATGACCAAGAAATCCTTGATAAATCCAAAAGAACAAAGATAAGGCTTTGGCGTGGAGGAAAGTTCAGAGCCAGAGACCAATGTTATAAAACACAGATTCTCTGAAAATATGGGAGAAAGTTTCCCAAATCTAAGGAATGGGATGGATCACTCTATATGGATGCTCAGAATTCCAAAATACACAGGCAGAAAAGAACCTCTTAATCATGCACCTTTCTATTTTAAACTGTTTTCAGTGTTTTACATCTTTGGTTTGCAATTATCAGTGCAAAGATTTCACATATTTATTCACATTCTGTCCTCAGTATACATTATTTCATTTATTTTTTGAAGATACTGTGAGTGAGGTCACCTTCTTGATTTCCAGATCAGTAAGTTTTCTTGAAAAATAAAAATGTTCCAGAACTTCATGTGTTTTGTTTTCTGTGATTTTTGTCCTGAAGTTATCCATTGTCTAAGATTCTGAATCTACCTCAGTGCAACCTCATCTTAATGCCTTCCACTGAAAAAATCTCACTCCCACATTAAATTAAACAACGGATTTTGGTGAAGACAGAAATATACGGATTTTAGGAAAACTAAATTCAATGTTGTTGAATACTTTGTAAATACAGCATGTCTTACTAACTTCTCTTGAGCAGGCCAAATATACCAAACTCAAAGTAAAGGAGTAAAGATGTTGTAGTCAGATTTTGCAAGGAAAACTATTTAACACAGCACACGTAATTTTAGTATTATTTTAGGATAGTCACTCAAGAGTCAAATACAAAAGAAAGACTGTAGGAAATCTGTTCATACACTAAGACCTAAAGAATTGAGTACAGGGCCTGGATCCCATGGCGATATCCTACATGAGTCCATCTGAAGGTCTAAAGCACATGAATATGCCTCTCATGAGTACAACTGCAGACCTGCAGCCTATGACATTTTCTCACACAAGTCTGTTTCAAAGATCTTCACTGAGAAATCCCAAAGGTCAGCAGTGGAAGAAAGTCTGTGCCAGTGGGATGAAGTATTTGTGCCAGTAGGCTGAGAGTTCTGCACTGAAGTCAGGAAATGATGCTCAAAATAAGGACCAGGGCTCCTGCTAAAAGTACCACAGTCATCCTCAGCAACAATGGAGTCCCGAGCTCCTCAGGAGATTGAAACAGCTGAGTTCATATTAGCAAGCACGACAGACTCCTCCTGGAGATTGAAGAGCATACCGTCTTCTTCTCCAGAGCCAAGAAGTGATGCTGAAATCAGTAAGGATCAGATTCCCATCCCCCAAAAATGAACTTCAGCCATTCTCAGCAACAACAAGGTCCTGTGCTCCTCAGACAATAAGAACAACCAAGTTCATATAAGGAAAGAAACTCAAAGACCTCCTCCAGGAGAACCCACAGCAACAAGAAGACTAACAGCACTTTTCAATAATACTTATTCCTCTCCAGGTCTTCTTTTTATGTTGGCAACAATCCTCAGGGTTTAGTTAGCTGAATGTTAAGTTGACCACCAGTTTTCAATGCACCACAAAAGGTTTATTTAGCTCACAGTTTGTAGAGGTTCCAGTCCATAATTGGCTCACTCCAAGGCAGTATAGAAAATAGTGAAAGGCATGACAGAGGAGGACCCTTCACGGTGCCCACAAAGTAGCACAATCAAGGGAGTGGCAGACAAATATCTTTTTGTCCTATAAATTGTATGCAGTTCTATGTGCCCTAAGTCAGATATAACACTCACACACTTAATGCTAGATGGAATCATGCCAAACCAATCAGTGAACTGATTTACTAATCATATACCCTTATTTACAGCCCCACAAACACTAGATACAGTCCCGTCTGCAAAGCCCACCCCTAGGACACCATGAGGATTTTGAGGGACAGACACCAATATATGGATTTTCGGAGTACAAAATTCAACAGTATTGTATACTTTGTGCATGGGACAGGGGGAGGAAAAATTTCAATGGCAATTTCAATATCAAATACATTTTACTAAAATATAATCAGAGACTAAATCTTTTTTCAGTTATTTTTCTTTCCTTCAACCATTTCCACGTTAGCTTCTTTATGGCTGTTTGGTTTGTGTAAAATCTTCCTAAAGTTATAATTCTATCTTTTTCAACAACTCATTTTCTAATGATCCAAAATTTTCTCTCTCTTCTAATAATTTTCTCCTTGTATCATTCACCCCTTTGAAGTTTCTGTTTATTTATTGTCACTGTGTCCTTGGATTTTCCTATTTCCTCTTTACCCCTTGGGTACTTTTTTTCTATCATGTGGTATTTTTTTGCTCAACACTTCCCTTCTATTTCCCAGTTTCTTCTGCGTCTCTGACTTCTCATCCGTGTGACTCTTCTACACTGGTGATCTCCATCATTCTCCTCTCTTCTGTTTTTTTTTTTTTTTTTTTTTTTTTTTCTTTTTCCATTATTTGTAAACCTCTTTGTCTTGATCCCTGGGTCTGATTCCATTTTCTCCACTTTTCTCTCTGATGTCCCCTTCTCAGATCACAAAAATCCTTATTGCTTCCTCACTACTTTTGCTTCAAGTTCCCACTTCTTTTCCTTTACTTCCAAATGTCTTTCTGTCTCATAATTTCGCATCTTTGTACATCACTCTCGTTCCTCTTCCCTCCTTCTTTATGTGTTGTCTTTCTGCTACAGTCTATCTGAGTTCTTCACACACCCTGTTTTTACAATTACAATTAGTATAGTTCTATAAACACAATATCTTAAGTAATTTAACATACATGATTTTTTTTTAATTTGGTGGATTTGTATTAGAAATTGAACTTAGGATTTGTGTTTGCCTGGACCCCTAAAAATGGTTTTAAAAAGTCTAATGAAGGATAAAATTTAAAGGATTACGAGTGTTTTTATGCAATCTCTTTCAGGGCAAGTTTGACTTCAAATAAAATGATATTCAGTGATTCCCTGGTTATTGATACAAGAACCACATGTCCAGAATGTAGTGATGAGGAGATCAATTTCACACAAGTGCATACTCATACAGACATGTGAAAATACTCTCACAAATACACACTGAGACATAGGAAAAAGTGCACACAGAAATACATGGACAAATTCACATATGTAATCATAGACTCACTCACCAAACACAGACTTAGTATCAGAAGTCTCTTGCTATTAGGAAGCAACACATGATGTTTACACTATACTCAATGCAATTTTTATATCACTACTCATATCATTAATTTATATCAAGATTTAATAGTAACAATCTATGCAAATAACTTGAAGCTATCTTACTCAGTATTCATCAATGATATAAAATGTATAGAGAGCATAGTTACAAAGTGTGATACTACATTTCAACATTGAAAATGAAAATATAACAGGAATTTTAAGTCATGCATGTTCAGGTTACCAAATATTTATGAGTAAAGGACTTTTCATTGTCCAACAAAACTGTATCATGATTGACACTGTAGGGTACTTTACAGACAGCTTCAGCTGAGGCTTCATGATAGAGAAGGTTTAAGGAAAGTATCATATGCCACTGGGGCTGCCATCACTGAAAAACAGAAGGCTGTAGTCTTTCTGCTACTGAGAAAGCTGTTGATTTTCTCTAGATGAGAGAATTTGAAGAACAGGGGAGGTGGGGATAGACAGTGATTCCTTTTGGTCAAGTCAAGAACACAAGAAAAGCTCAATTAAGAGTTAAGATGATATCTTCTGCATTTTGAGGGGATAGTGAGGGTTGAGATCATCAGTGATGCAACATAGTTGAAACCAAACAGTGCATATGTTGTTCCTCTTGTAGTTAGGTGACTCTGTTTCTTTGACCATAGAAACAGCATATTCCAGATACACAGTGACCACAATTCATGAATACAAAAGGACAGACAGTTGAGAAACATGCACTTATGAAAGCATCAAGGGTAAACAGCAAGATTCTCGAATGATGAAAAAAAGTCACATATATTTGCATGATACAAGACAGGAAATAGAAAAACATAAAGATGCTCACCAGGATAAGGATGCTGTGGGTGGCTCTGGTCTCAGCAGAGGACCTGAAGGAGTGGTTGGACCTATGGATGTGCTGAATCCGTCGCTTGTGCATAAATAAAATGAAAATTATGGAACCACAGGCTAAGAGCATGAGCCCCATGCATGAAACATCAAATATGGCAGTTAACACTGCATGCCCCGTGTATATCCCTCTCTTGGTATTCGGATCTGAACAGTAAGCAAAGTCTATCTTACTAGTAACATTTTTGTTTCTCAATTTCATAGTCAAGCTCACAGAAAAACTAATATTCAGCAACAAATGCAGGACCCAGAGTAGGGTAGTTAAGGTGTTTATGTACTTAGGAAATTTCAATTTGAGCTCAGTCCACCTGCAATTGCTGGGGCTGATGGTGATGGCCTGGAAGACACTCAGGAAACAAGTGCTACCAAAGGCTACACCTCTGCCTACCCTGCTAATATAGTAAACAAACTTGCATCCAAAGTCACTGAGGAAGTCTTCCAACCCATAAGCTGCCAAAATCTCTGGGACCCCTCTAAAGAGAATGACCAATAAGTTGGCCACAATCAGATGCATAATAATCAAATCTGTGGGTTTTGTTTTATGTCCACTGAGATAAAGAAATATGTATTTACCTAAGAGAAAGAGATTCCCCAGAGTTCCAATGAGAGTCTGAAAACTGAAGATTATTACAATATACACACTCTCAGAGCCCATTCTGTCACTTACTGTATTCAGGATTCAATTTCTTATACAGAGGTTTCTGTGTGATAACATGAATTATAAATAAACTCTTCTTTTATAATAACCTTTCCCAATGACAATTTCTTTCTCAAATATATATGTTATATATATTTTTATATATTTGTTATATGTTTATGATAGTTTCCAAGTTTTATGTTTTTTGTATAGCATTTACAATATATAGATCACTGCTAAAATGTTATTTGAGTACTTTAATATTTACATCTATCAGACAAGGCAGCAATGTGTGTTTCTCTTAAAATTCAGGTTAACTGAGCCACAAGGCAGTTAGCAACTCACATTAAAATTGGTTGAGTCTAGCTTCCATCCACGGCTGCCCAGTTGCTCTGTCATTGCTTTGGTATCTTATCCCATCTACATTTCCTGTTCTTTAAATAACACACATACATGCACCTCAGTTCATGAGTGCTTCTCCTCACAAACCATTTGGTTCTCAAGCAAAAACATGTGACAAAATTTGGTTTCTCTTCACAAACTCCACATCAGATGCAAACACAGCTGTGGCACTGTTTTCCCACAAAAACACAAACACAACTACTTCACAAAATCATAAAATGAGTTAAGATCATGAACTGAGGTACCATTGTATCTTCTGTCTTACATTAAAATCACTTTTTATGCAATGGAATATGTTTCATTTTCCACTGTCAAATTTTTCTATAGAGTAAATATGTGCACATAGACCGATCACTTTATGAAGTGTAGATACAGCTGGTAGTTTTACAGCTATAGTTATTTATTGAGTATAGATGAATATTAAGAAAGCAATAAAATATGATTTCATAGTTTAAATGCTGTCTTTCAAAAGAGTACAACATTGCAGTTCATTCTCCTCTGTGAGATACGAAATTTTAAAAATCTAACTTAATGCTTTTAAATTAGGAGATGTTTTTCTACTTACTGTTTAAAGAAAAATACAACTAGATATCCTATGACTTTTTAAAGATATTAAAATGTGCACAATATTGTCATCCTATAAAATAATCGGAAGTGCAAGAGGCATGGAAATCATGTTAGAATAGGACTTTTTAACCAAAAAAAATGCATGGTATACATAATAAATATAGCAAATTCTGTATTTTTTCTGTAATCCTTCACTCTCATCAGTAAGGTGATACTTTGGAAGTATCTTTTTCTACCTACTAGAAGGGAAAATTCCTCATTACCAACATAATTCTAATACTTTCATACACATATATTTTCTCATTCAATAAAGATATTATACTCCCTTTGAGAGTGACAGCTTCTTTTTCATAGACAGTACTCAAGTTTTTCAAACAACCAGAGGATTCTGTAACTCTATTGTATTCATCAACAGATACACAGAATTTATAGTAAATTTCTACCTGATTACTTTATGATACCTCAGAAAGGAATTAATTTCAAAATTTCCGTCCTACCCAGCATGAAATTCAGACTTCTTTCCTGCTTGCTTCCAGCTGTAGCACTCATGGATACATGAGTGAATGTTAGACCAGGACACATAAGCAGTAACCAGGATTCAGCACATGGTTCTAGCTTCACAGTTCCAATGTGCTACTGCACCAGTGTCCAGAACTGCTCTTCATGTCTTTGTGGCTTTGGAGAAGAGCAGCCTTCACCCCAGAACAATCTGTCTTCAGCCAAGTGCTTTCACCAAGAAAATGATGTCCCACTACTGTAGCAGACTCAGTTCTCAGCCTGTGAGAAAACTCATTTGTGCCTCTCCCTCTGCCAGGATGTAGACCTCAGTGTGACAGAGACACAGCCAACGTGCGTGAGAAAGGAAGGAGGCAGACACAGAGATAAACGTGAGTGATAATGTAACCTCACCTCCCCCAGGACACAAATATTCAATTCTTCTGTTGTGCCAATGACATACTTCATCCAGTGTTGTGTATCTGAAAAGTTTTTCTTAGCTCCAAATTCCCAGAGTCAATTAAAAGTTCTTGTTTGTGGTGTGTGTCTCCAAGGAGCAAAGAAACTGTGTTGGTGGTGCTTTCTTTTTATCTTCCCTAGGTAGACACTGTCATGCTGAGGAAGAGGAAAAAGTGAAGCATGAGGCTGTGATGCAGGCAGGAAATCACCTGGGTCCCCCTGGATCTTGGCGTCCTGTGAGAAGTTGTTGGCCCTATGGGTTCACTTATGTCATAAGTTAGACATTAGAGGTGTTCAGAGACCATAGGGCAGGTCCAGGGAAGAGTGAAACAAAGAAAATCTCCCCACAACAGACATCAAAATCCATTAGAGACTGTTTGAGAAGCTCTATGCCCAGTCATTCAAAAGTAGAGTTATCAGTGAGTAAATTCACAAAGAACACTGGAGAATCACATTGCCTCAGGGCTTTACCACTTTATTGGGGCCACTATAAGGGGCCATTTGCCATGAAAGTCCAAGAGATTAATCCACACAATGTTTATAGAGAGCTATAGTTAAATAGATACATGTATGTCCATTTAGAATATATGCAGGTTATATACATTACATATATGTTATATATGCTACCAAAAGTATGTAAATCAAGAAAAAGAAAAACTTGTATAAATATTTTAACACTAAATTTAATGAGATATCATGAGACAAAGAGAAGTTACATTTGCTCTCTAAAATTACAAGAGGTGAATTGAATGGTGGTTATTAGATTCCAGACATTTATCAGTAGGGCAAACTGCTGAATTATGTATGCATTTTTTCAGTGTACTCTATATATGTATCATGTTTTCTCCCAAAATAAGGCCAATTCAGAACACAAGTTTTTTTCATGATTTTAGTAGCGATATACCCTGAAAATAAACTTATTGCATCTTTTGTTGTAAAATCCATAATCTACACACATAGCAACTTTATTCCAATTTAAATCAGATTACAATTCCATAATACAAGTGACACTACAATAAATAAATTGTAAAAAGTTAGTAAAACTCAATATAAGAAAAATATGAAATGGCATTCTTAGGAAGAGTGAGGAATTATTATAAAAATAGATGAACAGGGCTGAGTAAAGGAGAAAATAAAACCATACCATTTCATAAGAAGATAAAACATGTTTTGTCCTAAGAAAAGAAATTAATCTCCATTTTATTAGGAACTTAAACTTAAATTAAAAATTCTTAATAATAAAGTATCCTACAACACTCTTGCGTAAGAACAAGTCAGATCAAAAACGTGAGAACACCCATGTGGTATCATCCCCATGCACTGTGAACCTGCTGGAATATGAATTCAATATTCTAATAAATAATGATAATCAAATAATGACACAAAAAGAAAATATATTATTTCATATCCTTACAATCCTTGAAGTATGTACATTTTAAAGTAGGGCATGTTCAATTTAAATATAATAAAATACACATTATACAAATGAAATAGATAATATTAACCCAAAATTTACATAAAATTAAAAAGAATTATTGTTAAAAATTTAAGAAAAGATTACAAACAGAATCACTACAATACTTTAAAGAAGTAACAGAAAAAGCATTTTAACACGAATGCATTGTATTGGAAAAAAGGAAGAATTTTAAGCAAATTTTCATAGTCTTTGCAGAAGAAACAGGAAAAGAACAAAATAATACCACAGCAAACAAAAAATAATAAATGTACAAATAGAAATCATTGCAAATCAAAGCATAAATAATGAACAAACTGAAAGCTACTGACTTATTTAATTATTAACTTGTTTTACACTCATGAACAGTGTTGTTTATTTCTAGGACTTTCAGTAAAGGAGAAACAGAGCTGCTAATACTGTGACTAAAGGAAAACATATATTGAAAGTCATGAAAAACTAGCTTAATAATATATTCAACAGAAAAAATTGTGTAAGTGAAAAACTTTATCATAAATCATATTGAATCATATATTTTATAATGAATGATAGATATTTCCCATGCATTTGTTGATTTATTTATTTTCAGAGGTTTCTCCAGTTATTTGTTTTATTTTAAATAGAAAAAAGTAATGAAATAGAGTTTTAAAACAGGATACTAGGGAAGTAAAACTAATCTATACATTAAGCACTGCTGTTTTCACAGTAATTTTCAGAGTACAAGACACAGATATGAAACATTGCCTATAAAATCACTAGAACAAAAATTTCTTCTCAAAGAATCAGGAGAAAACGGCTGGTTTCAATCTATTTTTAAATTGCGTGTATATGTGGTTGTAAAAAATTTTGAAGATTATTCAACCAATCACCCATATCCATTACCTCACATAGCTGACAATTTCATGACAGGTCCAGAAAGTTAGTCACCAATTTCCTGTATAAATTACATTATTTTTCACTGTAGTAATCATGCTGCATATTAGACATTTACACCTATCTGTCCTCCAAAACATCATTTATCAACTGTCATCAGTACCTTTTCCTATCATTTCAAAGGCATTGAAAAATATGGTAATTTTCTATACTTTTATATTTTGAATGCTTGAGGATAACACATATAAGATAGATTAAACAATGTCTTTTTTGTTTTTGCCTATGTCACTTGGGATTCTGAATGCAAGATTCATTCATATTGTCACTCTTGGAAAGATACTTTTGTAAGACTAAATATTGTTCATATATTATATATATATATATATATATATATATATATATATATAATTTGCACTCTTCCACTGATAGATACAGGTTCTGCTATATAGTATTGAATATTAAGAGAAATGGTTCAGTGAGGTGGGCAACATGAAGTCTGTTTACATATATACCCGGAATATCATATGCCAGGTAACATGGAAGTTCTGCTCTTGATTTGTGAAATTTCTATACAGATTTCCATAATGCCCATCTCACTTTATATGGCAACTGTTTGTATAGAAGAATTCCCACATCTCATTATGTGTATACAAGAAAAATAATGTTATTATTCTATAGCCTTTATTTGATCCACAGAAGCTATTTCTAATGAGACTTTCAACATAAAAATCTGGGAAATTTTGGCCTAAACATGGGAGTCTTCCACTTT